GGCTGGGAGGGAGGCAACAAGCAGCTCAGGCATTTTAGGGTTATGAAAATATAAAAGCCTAACCAGATACTGCTAACTTTGCTTCTTGCTTGCTTCCTTTGCTGCTACCAGTGCTAGGAGTTCATATTGTGCAGTGAGCCCCTTTGTTTTGGAGGAGACCAAGTGATTGAAAACAGCCATGATATTACTATGCATGGACAGTATATTTTTTCCATGTATTTTCATAACCCTTTTCCCAAAGGATCAAATGTGTCTTTATTCTATAACTCCACAATGGGTTAGAGCAGCTCCTCGGGCGGGAATTGTTCTGCTCCATAGGCCACTTAATGCTTGCTATAAACAAATACCAAATTAGGTAGGTAATACTCAATATTCCTGACCTTGCTTGCAAAGTATGTGCAACTGCATCTCAGAGAGACAAGGGTGTGGAGATACCCATTGTGAACCTGAGGTTAAAGATGACAAAATACTTGTTATGGGGGTTTAGTTTTTTCTGTTTTAGTTATTGGAGTTTGTTGGCTTTAGTTTTGTTTTAATACAAAGAGAGGGTATGTGTATGTGTAAAACTGCATTTCCCACACAAGAAATGCAGGGAAGCTTTGATCTCAGACCTCTATTGTACCTTAGGCACCTCTGGTACCTAAGCCAAAGTGTGTCTAGTTGAAAATGGAGTTTCACCATACTGCCATGAGATATATTTTTAAGTATGCATGTGCATGCTTGCTTTTTGTCCCTATTTAACACTGTGTAATTTTCTAAAAATTGTCTAAATTTGAGCCATGACATCAAGCTCCACATCAGAGCAGCAGCCCTTGGTCCTTCAGAGTCCCTGGCATGGGAGGTTTCCACTCTGCTTGCCTTTTGAGAACAGGCTGCTTGGGACACACAGGATACTCTGGGAGCCCCAGACCTTGCCTACACATGGGCTCAGTGGCAGATGCTGCCAAACTGTTCTGGAGGTGACACTGTCCCACTACAGCCTCTGGGATATAGAGCAGCTGAGGACTGGGAAGGTCCAGGACCAGGAAAGGAAAAAAACCCCCTAAATCTCTCTGCCCCGGTGTCCCATTTGTGTGAGTGTGTGCTGACCTTTCCTCACAAGGGCCCCGAAAGCTGCTGTGAGCTTTTCTGTTCCCCCATTGCTGTTTCTGTCAGGCAACATCCCCCCCTGAGATGTTCCACTCTCGCTGCCTTGCCTCGGGGGGATGTGGCTGTGCTGCCTCAGCCCCTTGCAGTGCTCCATCTGAGCAGCATTTTGCACAGGGATGGTCTGCAGACCATGTACTTCCACTTGCAAGAGTCCTTCCCACCCCCTTGTTTTGTTACCCTCCTTCCTCCTCTCTTCTCTGCTCAGAAAACATCTGTTTCCAGATGTTGTTCTCGAGCCTAATAAATGCAGGGAAAGGCCTTGAGTTAATGTATTTACAATAGCTGGAGATGTCGGCTGCTGGTTAATGGCTGCTTCCAGCACACCAAGCCCCCCGTGTTTCCTGCAGGGGGCAGGGGGAGGGGGAAAGCAGAGGAACAGAAAGAGAACTGGGCTGGGGTTTTTCTCCCGGGTAAATGGTCTGAAAAGGGGAAGATTAGTGGCAGGGCAGAGCACATGGCATCTCCAGGCAGCTGGCTTCAACTTCCAGTTAGTGACAGGAAGGACACTATTTTTTTAATGGAAGGTTGTCTTTAAGTGATGGAACGTGAGCAAAGCCTGCTGCTGTTCTCTATCCCTTTACAGGTGAAGGCCTGTTGTAGATACCTGGCTGGCTTGAACTGTGCTCATAGAAGCAAGAACTTCATCCATGCCCAGCTCTATCCATTTCTGGCCTGTGGCATGGAGTGGTTCATGCCCACAGCACCTGCCTTGGGTCAGAGAGGGTTTATGGTCTGTGGCAATGAGAGCACATTGTGCCACGTGAGGAATCCCCACGTACTGTGAGCACCATGTGTCTGTTGCAGAGCAGTGCTGGGCAGACTCTGTGGGGTGCTTTGCCCACATACACATGTCCCTCAGAAGGACAAAGTGCCTGTGCCAGCTCGAGACTGACCAAGCTGGAATCTTGCCACACCTGCTTGGAACTGATCGATTGACCCAGTGCCATGGGCTAGATTTGAAACTTCTTCATTGTACAGAGGAGTTTTAGCTGCTTTGGGGAATTATATGTGAGTTCTGTTTGGTCCAATTCTTAACATGTTTGTGCTGAGGTCCTTAAACATCCTGGAAGGCGTGTTAGAAGTGATGGAAGCGTGTGGTTCCTGTGCTTGTAAGGAATATCATCAACCTCCCCGAGGAAAGAGGGATACAGCCTCAAGCTCAGCATATGCAGGGCTTTCTGAGAGTTACTAGTCAGTGAAATCACTCCTGATTGCAAGTGAGTATTTGTTTCTACTCCACCAACTTTGAGAGTCAGAAACTTGCAGGAGGACTGGTTTGAGGCCAGCGCTCACCTCCTCTCATACCATTGAGAGAGCTGGAGTCTGGGCTGTGCTCAACCCAGGGAGTGCTGAGATGATTCCACATGCCAGGCCTGTTTCTGGAGGCAGCTTTTTGGTTGAGCAGTGCTGCAGACTCGACATGCACACTTGGCTCAGGTTTGGGGCTAAATTAGTCCCTCTCTATTGGCATGGGATGACAGGGCTCCGTAATATCTCATGGATAGAAAAATTACCCTTCTGCACATCTGCAGCTAAGGCTCCTGCGTGAAACCCGTGTGGGTGCAGCTCCCCAGCCTGCAGCAGCTATGACATACCCTCCAAATGAGCTGATCAGCTGGACAGGGGCTGGGGGGAGGCAGGAAAAGGCACTTACAGAGCCATTCAGGCGATGCCCTTGTCTGCACTGCAGGATCTGTATCAAAAACCAGCGCAAAAGAGCAGAGAGCTGTCCCCAGCCAGTGGGGGGAAAGAGATGCAGACACCCAGCAGATTTCCATATTTAGCTTAGAGGGTGGGTTTTTGTGATTTCAGTGCTTAGGTTGGTATAAAGGGGGGAGAGACAGACAGCCTCAGGTGAAACTTTGTATAACACAGGCAGGTAGCTGCAGTCATCAGTAGTTCAACCCCAGTCTCAAGGCAGTGTACTGCAGCACTCTGGGACACTCAGCACCAGCTGCTACCTGGTATTTTCCTGGGAAGATCTCTGCTTCTCAAACACTGTATCATCAGCCTCTAGGCATCTCCCTTTCATTTCTCTCTATCTGCTTATTTGCTGTGATTGCAGGTGGTATCTTGGGTAACTCCCTTGGAGCCGGGGCCTCAAAGACTTCTTTTCCTTTTGTAAAGAAGTAGGCTGCAAACACAGGGGGTAGGAGACCAGGGTGGCTACACCTCCTGAACTAATAGACACCCTTTGTGTGCCAGGTCTGTGGGTTACACATCTCTGCCCTGCTCATATGAAAAACTGTTGAAAGGCTGCAGCCATCAGAGGGGTGTTTTCCCTGCGTGCCGGAACAGCAACGCAAATTTGAGCAGTGAGATGACAAGAAACCCACTAAAAGAAATAAAGAAAGGATTTCCTGCCTCGCAGACGCTAAAACCCCATTTTGGGAGGTGAGTGGCTGTGAAAGGCATGAGGCCATCCAAAGAATTGGGGCTGTGTGCTACCGGGCCCTCTGAGGGTTTGTCTGGTGCAGAAACAGCTCGTGCTTGCGTTAACCTGCTCCCAGAAGGTCTGGCTTTTCCAGCCCCCTGAAACAGAGACCAGGCCAGAGATGAATATGGGTTTTCTCTGCCAGTTCATTTCCAGCACAGACTGCACGCAAAATCTTCATTTAAAACGTGTAAATGACAGCAAAAGAGCCACAAGGGAGCCAGATTTTAAGAGACCAATTTGCTGCCTGGCTTTTAATGACTGTGCACCACGGTGAGCTCTGTGCTGCCTCGCTGCTGAGCGTGCTCAAGGAGAGGATGAAAGAACGGACAGACAGACAGGCAGGGGCTCAGCAGAGCCTGCATGTCACCCCGGAGGATAAAATATTGTATGTTATGCTCAGAAAAACTGGGAGAGGTGGCCCTCGCTTGCTGCTGAAAACAGAAGGAGGCTTTGTTTCCCAGACGCATGGCTCGGAGCTGCCCTACGGCACGTTTTGGGGAGACTGCTCCCTGCCAAAGGGGGATTGTCTGTCTGTCTGTCTGTCTGGTGCCCTGTGCCTGGTGGGACACGCAGACGATGGGAAGTTCTGCTTCACTAGAGGGCCTCAGCAGATTGGTTCCTCTGAGCACCCTTGGCATGTTGTACCCCCAAGTCAGGCCCCAGATGTTCCCCCCTTGCACTGCAGCCTGCCTGGGGTGTTTCTCCCTGCTGCCCTTCGCTTGTTCCTTGCAGAGCCCTCAGCTGCCAGCTCTTGTTTCCAGATGTTTCCCTCTGCTTCTCGCCCTGCCTGGCTGCTCTCCTCAAAATACCGGGGTCCAAATCCCCCAGTGCCGGTGCCCGGGGGCTGCCCCGGGATCTGCGCGGGGGACGCCACAGCCCGTTTGTGCCATCCCGTAAAGCGCTCCCGGCTGCCTGGAGGAAAGGAAGACGCGGGCTGGTGTGAGCCCAGCCTCTGCTTTACAATCGCTTTCCTGCCACTATAAATAACCTCGGCGAGAGTCACTTCAAAGGGACGGGCTGGCGGCGGAGAGGTGGTTTGGGGACCGAGCGGGACAGGGGCGTCCCACTGCCCGATCCCACCCCGGCGCTTTGCATAAATAAATAAATCATGCGGCAGGGGAGAGGTGGAGAGAGAGGGCGAGCAGAGGAGGTTACTTTGGGAAGCCGCGCAGCTCGCTCATCCCAGCCCCGTAGTTCGGAGGGAGTGTGTCATGTTACAGGGGAGCCGCGATCAGCCAGAGCACAGCGTCGCCGGAGCAGCTGAGAATTACCTCTCTCTAATGGGGACTTTCATGTGCGAGCTCCTGGCCAGTCTGCGAAGGAACTGAAACTGACAGCTTAGAAAGAATCAAAAACTTACCAGCGAACCAAAAGACTGAAATACAGGAGGAAAAAAAAAATATCTCGATCAGATTATTTTTTCCCCCTTCGCACTCTTTGCTGCAGTTGGATCCCTTTTTTCTGCACCCCTTTTATGTGTGTGTGGTTTGTTTTTATTTTTTAAAGACACCCCCCCCCCCCCATCCACTTTTGTCATTATTGCTGTCACTTGCGATTTGCTGGCGCTGGGATTCCCTCCGACGTTCTTTTTCTTATGCCTTCTGGATTGCGCGTCTTGGAGTAGGAGCGAAGCTGTATTTATTCTATTTATTTATTTATTGTTTCTCAGGACAGGGAGGGAATGTTGGAGGAGAAGAGCTGGAAAGGCGTCGACGAAGCAGCTTTTGACAGGGGGTGTGTGGCTCCCCCCCGGAGCGGCGATGGGGAGCGGTGCTGCCGCCTCCCTCTGCTGCTGGGCTCGGGGCTGCCCGGCGTGTCCCTGCTCTCTCTGGTGCTCAGCCTCCTGCTGTACTTTCGGACCTCCGACCTGCAGTCCCGCGTGTCCCACTTGGAAGCCGACAGACCCACACAGCTCCCTGCCTGGCTCTCGGCAGACCAAATGGAGACGGCTATTTTGGGAAGAGTTGACCAACTGCTCAACGAGGTCAGTGTTCTTTCGTTCTGCATGTATAGGTTGTAGTAGTATAGGTGTAGGCATATGCATGCTTGCATAGGCACGTTATTATCCATTTTCCCCCCTTCCTTAAAAGTGTATCCCTGCAGGAGTGATGCTGCTGCTAGGTTGAATTCCCTGTTCCTTCAGGTCCCTCCCACCTCTCAAACTTGCTTGGCATTTGCTTCTCTCAGCCCGTGCTGTAGCTGAAGCACTTTGCAAAGAGGAAAACCTCATCCCTTACCCTGCTGGGGAGGCAAAACCCCCCAGCCCTTCTCTTCAGGAGTCTTGCATGCTGAAGGAGTTAGAATTAGAGGTTAAACCTGGGCATTCAGCCTGGGTTTGAGCCCCGGAAGGGGGACAGGCAAGGCACGTCACAGCCAGCATGGCTATGGGAAGAGGTAATTGCAAGCACCCCAATGTTGTGATGGGCTGGTATTGCTGCTGTACCAGCCCCCTGACCCCTTCCACGGCTCCTGGCTCAGACAAATGAGACACACTGGTGTTGCCAGGATGGTTTCTGGTACTGCCGGGACATCAGTGCAGAGCATGTGGCTGTGCTATACTCACTTGAGTCCCATCCAGACTCCACTGGACACTGTGGGCTCTCCTCTGGTGATGGGGGAATGCTGCTACTGGTTTCAGCAGGTCACTAAAGAGAGCCCAAAAGTGCAGATTATTGTTGCTGACACCTTTTTCTTTGCTGTGTTGATGCTGCTGGGGGCTGTCTGTGTTCCTCTGCTCTGGCTGCGATGAGTATTCCTTGCCATGTTGGGCTTTGAAGTGCTGTTGACATGTGTCCGGGAGCAGATGGTGGCTCATGTCTCTGAACTTTCCAGACAGGTCCCCACTGACCTGTTCCCTCAGCTCTAGGAGAGGCTTGGGGGTGAAATTCAGGGCTGCAGCCATTTCCACCCACCTCTCATTTTCTCTGTTTGCTCTAGCTTTGGCTTGAGTCATGCTGGAGAGATCCCTGGGGCTAGCCCAAAAACTGTTTGCAGCTGAAAAAAATCTCTTTTGGGCTGCTGTTGCCGGATGAGGTGAGGAATGGGATGATCAGAGTGCTGACTACTGGGACCTGCCTTGGGCAGTGCTGCCTGGCACCTGGGGTGACCTGGAGCCCCTCCTGCTTTCTAGGAGCAGTGAAAGTCTGTGGTGAGGAGTTCAAACCTACAGCTGACAGGCTCAGCTTCTGTTTATGGGTCTTGTGAGAGCAGTCCCTGGATCTGCTGGGCTGTGCAGCCAAAAGCTGTGAACTGGAGCTAGCAAACACTGCGGGAGCTGGAGGATATGGTTTTGAGTTGCCTCTTTGGATGAGAAATAAGGGAAACACAGGGTCCACGGGGCAATATCCTACTTTGAAAAGGGGTTTGGGGAGGCAGCAGCATTGTGAGTGATTGGATCTGTGCCCTGTGGCTGCACTCTCATGCAGGGACTCCTTCCCTGCCACCAGGCAGGGGATGGTGCGGCATTCCCTCTGTTGCTGCTGGGCAGTCGAAGTTTATCTGTGTGGAGATTTGAGAAGCGCCTCCCGGGAATGGTGCCTGGGGCCGGATGGCCCCGTGTCCTGCTGGCAGCGACACCTTTACACCTTTTTATAGCTCGGCTTAGCGAGGAAACGGGGGTCTCGTGATGCCCGTGTGCCCAGCAGCACCCCGGTTTCCTGAGCGGCCCCTGCTGTGCCCCTGGGGGTGCCCACAGTCCCCACTGCAGCCCGTGTGGGGAGCAGCCGTAGGACAGGAGCTACAGCTTGAGGGGCCAGCACTTGCTCCTGAGTGCCACCAGTGTCACCAGCTCCATCGTGGAGCTTCAGCTTCAAAAAGAGCTTGGAGAAAAGTGCTGGAGGCTGTGGAGGAGGAAGGATGCCTGGCCCCCATCTCCTGGGAGGCGGGCTCTGTCCCCCAGGGAGGACACCCTTGCCAGCTGTGCTGCCCACCTGTGCTAAGCACCTGAACCTCAGAGCTGCACACTCAGCACAGGCACTGGCATGGACCAGGCAGCTCGAGGTCCAGGGCTCAGGGCTGCTGGTGACAGATGGTGGGGTGCCATGAAAAGGAAAGAAAAATCCTTCTGGTCCTCTTTTCATTATGTCTGAAGTGGGGCCCAGGATTGACTGAGGGGGTCAAGGATGGAGGAAAACAAGGTAGGGAAAGGATGGGAGAAAAAAAGTAAGTAAGCAAAATAAGTCGTGCTGACCATGAGTGGGGGAGAGGGGCTTTAGATGGGTTTGCTGTGATGGACGTGAAAGTGGGAAATTCATCTCCCCCTGCTCAGACCCTCTCATTGCCACATCCTCATCGTTTCCTGGTGTTTCAACCTTAATGGGTTTCACAGCTGCCAGCTCGGTGAATCCATCACAAAATAAACCAGCAAAGCTTTAAAGGAACCCCAGCTTTAGAAAAAGCCGATCAGAGGTGGGAGGGAAGGCACAGCACACTTCTAGCTCTGGTGGCTGTGAAGATGAGCTGGAGGGATGTGAATAAGTGAAATCTGCGAGGGCTGATAGAGGAGCTCTCAGGTTGTGCTCCAAACCTGTGCTGCTCTGAGCTGGAGTGTGTAACGCTCTCCAGTCTGGGCCATGAGTGTGCCCAGGTGTGCCCTGCGTGTTCCCAAGGCTCTGCAGGGGACACCGTACAGATGGCAAAGTGCAAATTGCCAAAGTCCTTTTAGAGGCCTTTCTTCTATACATGGAAAAATGAAGCAAAACGGCAGGGAGAGGAGCTGGGGTGGTTTGCCTAAGATGTTAATTTTAAGGCAGCTGGTGGGGATGTTTTCTCCGTCTCAGAGCCTGGTTTTCGAGCACTGGTGGCTGGCTGTGGCAGTTTCCATCTCAGCTCAGGAGGAGTGAGGAGAGGGCGGCAGATGCTTTCCCAAAGCAGCCTGACCAGTGCTTCGTGTGCTACTGTGTAAACCTCTGCCTGGTGTAGGCGAATGCCACCAGGGAATTTCCTACCAGACGTAAATTGACTAGGTTTTCTTGTAAAAACATCTGTGCAGAATGGGCCAGAAGCAGGTAGTACAGGGAGAACTTTCACTCTATCTAGGAATTCGAATTCCTCTGCATTTATGAGACATCATAAAATCATACAAATAAACTCACTGCTGGCATTTGCAAGAGAGGCAGAGCTTTCCAAAGAAGAAAACAAGGTCCTTTCCCATGCTATTTCACTTGCCAGAAACTCATCAGGGTGGAGAACGGGATGGATTCAGTGCTGTTGCTAGGAAAAAGAAATCCCAGAATTTGTGAGTTTGTAGAGATAGAAATGTGTATGTGTGATTCTTTGCCCCACAATCAGGGGATCTGTTTTTTTCTTTCAGCTTCTCTGGTAGCTGAGTTCCAGTTCCTTTCAGCTGCTTGCAATCCCTGTACCTAGGTGGTGTTATTTCCAAGCTTTTTGCTCCATCTGAGAGGACTCCCTGCTCTCTTTTGCTTTGTGCCACATAGTCCCAGGGGCTGGGCCTTTAAGAAAAAACGGGGAAATTGGAGGTAAAACAAAAAGAGTTAACAAAACCACCCACCCCTGAAATCCTCCTGATGGTTGTAATAGATTATCTATTTAAAATGTGTTTCTCTTAGCTGTTGGAGATAGTGGTGGGAAGTGATTTCACCTCCCCGGGTGACTGCAAACAACTGGGAATGCTAAAGAGCTATTAATCTGCCCCCTTTGAAGGAGTGCCCTCCCTCTCACCTAATCTCGAGTGCCCATCCGAAATCGACAGGCGCTGCAAGGTTTAGGAGACCGCAGCCTAATGACGCTTTACCGTCAGAAGCGGCCTTGCTGTGGCTGCTCTGTCCGCCCCTGTCAGCCCTGTCCTGTCACACTTGTGGTGAGTTAACCAAACCCACGGGAAAAGCCCGTGCTGGCTTCAGTGCCCATTCCCAGCAGGTGTTTCAGCGTGACCCTCCTGGCCTTGCCCTCTTGCAGAAGGGATTTTCCCTTTCCTCTCACTCAGCAGTGGGCCGTGGCTCCTGAATCCTCAGAGCTGCAGGCAGGGCCGGTCAGCTGTGGCTCCAGTGCTGCAAAGGCTTCTTTCAGCCACTTGCCCTGCTGCAGGGGAAGATGCAGCTGTTATGTCACTGGATAACGTGACAGACAGAGCAGGCTCTGCTGACAAAGCAATCCCCTCCATGGGAAGTGTTTTCAGCCTTTCTGGAAGGCAGCCTGTTGCTGCTCTTGATGTTACATGCTCCAGGTATCCCCCAGGTGAAGAAAATCCCCCGGATCCCAAGAAGGAGATTGCAAACACTAGATTCCCAGAGTCAATCTTCTTTTTAAATTTTGCTTACAGAAGCCAACCTTGCCCTAAAATTGAATGCTTTTCTATTGCCTGGGAATGAAAGTTTTCTCTTGGAAATGACATTTTTGGAGGGAAGTACATTTGGTTTGCTCTCCTGAACAAAGCCAGCTTCTTGTGTTGGACCAGGCAATATTTTGCACAGTGGAAACGAGGGAAGCAGAAAAGGCTGGGGGTTTTGTTTTGTTTTCCCATCTCCACCCAAAGTTGAATTAAGGTCTCCAAGAGCCAAGGATTTTTTCTGTGGCAGTGTTTGTTTAATAGACTGTGCAGGAGAATGAACACCAGGCACTCCTAAATCCCTGGTAGGTTTTGCCTCCCACTCAAGGGGAGCAGTCCCATGGCACCACTGCCCTCCCCAGGGATGTGCAGAGCTCTTGGGCTTGAGGGAGACACGAGGGATGGGGCAGAATGCCCAAATGCTGATGAGGGAGTGATGGCAGCATGCTCATGGTGCACAGGGCTGTGCTCCAGCCTGCCCAGCAGCACCAGCACCTCCCTCCCCAGGGGCCCCTGTCCTTGGGAAGGCTATTTCAGTTGTCCCAGGTCTTTCCACTGCCTTGACCCTGCAGATAAAGCCTCAGGGAAATGTTATCAGCCCTGTTCCGTTCCCAGTTATGCTCCAGTCCTGCTGGGTCATCACTTCCCTGTCCAGTTGTGCTGCTCCTCTCTTTGTAAGCCTGCACAGCAACCCAGCCAAGGCTTCTTAGGCACAGCCTAACTCAGCCATTCCCCCTTACAGCCCCTCCAGTGCCTCTGGCCTTGGTGGGGCAGGGATCTGTTCCATGTTTCCTTGCAGATTTGTGTGCTCTAAAGGCCCCTGTTGCATGCAGGGTGTTTGGACCCTTGTTGGCTAGGAAATGGCTTTCTGCTCCTGCTATTGCAAACCACCATCCCTTCCTTGTCTGAGCCTGATTCCAAACATGGGAGCACCACCCAAATCCCAAATGTGGCAGTCTGGTGTTGGAGATGTTTTGGTTGGCGCATGTGTGGGTGGGAACGGGGCTGTGTGTGTCCACATAGCAGTGTGAGTATCCAAATAAAGGCTCTGCTCTCCTGCTTGTGCCCATGTTTGACCACTAGCAGTCAGAAGCCAGAGCAGAGCTGTGCCATCTGGGCTGGCAGCAGGATGGGAACGTGCCCAAATGCAGAAATTCACAGAATATCTGTGCTTTTAACTGAGAAGGTAAACACCAATGAAATACTCTATGGGAATTGGCAATTTTCCTTGCCTGAAACCCTCTCCTCCACCCTGCTATCAAATCAGCTTGCTATCAAAACATTTCAATCTACCATGCAAAATAAAGCTCTGAAAAGATTTAATTTCTAGTCAGTCACAGCAACCATTACTCTTTTGACTTGCAGTGAAGAAGCCAATCCTTTCAAAGTGAAAAAATGGAAATACTCCAGCCAGTTCTGCCTTCCTTCATCCCAGGCAGAAACAAGTTGATTTACTTTTATCCTCTCTGAAAGAGTTTTTCCCCAAACTGATGTCTTCTTGCAGGAAGATGCTCAATTACTTGTGAAAATAAAGCAATTTCTATATGATCTCGGGCACAGGCTTCTGTTGTGTCCTATGTAAGGCTATTTCTTTTGAAATATTGACCCACTTGTGAAGTAGTTCAAAAAATAGGAAGGCTCAATGGGGATGGGAAGTTAGGAGGGAAGAGAGAGTGATTCCAGAGCTTAGGAACCCCAGCAGCTCAGTGGTCTCAAATCATTAACCAAGTGTGGTTTGCAGGCATTAATGAATAACCTATTTGGATTGATTTGCATTTTCTTCACTAATTACAGCTATTTTATAAGGTCTGTGAGGGGTGGTGAGGATGCTACCCCTGAAGCACATTTTTCTCAGGACATGGGTTAATTTTGTTGATGTTCCCAGTGAGGGAAGATGCAGTGACCTCAGGTGGACTTTATTTGCCCTTCAAGAGATGCACAGGTGGGCCCAGAGAGCAGGAGACTGGCATGCTGGCACCATTAGAAATCCAAACTCATATATGAAATCAACATTCTGACAAAATTCCACCTTGTGGAAGCTCTTGATAGGTTTTGTTGTGTTTTGCCCTTTGGGGGAAAAATTAATTTTCACAGAGTCTGAAGATTTCAGAGGATGCTGTTGATGTTTTCAGTTCATCTTCAGCTACAGTCTTGCAGTGGGACCCTTCTGTCATCCAGGTGTCTCCAAGATCATCAGGAATGTGCTGCAGGGTGGAAGAGGACCTGCTTCAGATCTTCATTTTCTGCCCACTGAGTGGGTCTTGTGAGAAATGTGGCTTTGTCACAAGGACACAATCACCAATTTATTTGCCACTGCTGGCTCTTGGTTTTGTAATGCCTGTCAGGGGGACCACATTTGGAGGCCATTGCGAAACTCCCTCAGCCTGCTTTCAATCAAACCCCGCATTTCTAGTTAGGGGCTATGAACTTTATTGCCTTTCTTCATTCCCAAACTGCTCTGCCCTGTCTCTCCCATCTCTACTTGGGCAGCATCCCCTCCCAGTTCCATTTTTTCGAGAATTTGAGGCTTTGGTTTCAATGGTATAAATTAATCCTTTTTCTGTTTTTCCTCTCTTGGCAGAAGTTAAAGTTCCACTTGCCAAGACATCGAGAAGTCCGAGACACACACCAGCGATGCAACTGCCCGGCAGGTAGGGATCTGGGACAGCTGGCACTGTGCAAAGTGACCAAAACTTTCCTGCTTTTGCATCTCATTGAAGGATTTTTTAATGCTGTCTCCTGTGTGAATGCAAAGTTACATATACTTGCATAACAGTTTGCTCAAATACAGGAAATTGATGTGGAGGTGTGGGCAACAAGTCTGGTGCCAACATCTGACAGGAACAACAGGAAAAGGGGTAGAGGTCCAGATGGATGTCCAAAAGAGAAGGACACATCTGGACGGCCACTGTTCTCACTGATTTTAGATAGCAGTTTTGAATTGGGCAGAGAGGCTCTTGGGGAGTGCATCTTTCTTGCCTGATTTTGGAAGGTGTGGGACATGCAGGCTAGATCCAGCACCAAAGCTGAATTTTGGTGAGCCAAAATGCCTCTAGGGTGAGAAGATTTGAATTCCTTGGTGTTCTACAACTATCCGAGGCATGTTGCAGGATTAACAGCTTTGTGCCAGAAGCAGCCATTTATGAGGGGCTTGAATGAAGTGGTCACTTGAGGTCCCACTCATATAGCATACAGAAATATTATGGGATTGCCTAATTGCATGATGGTTTTAATCATGTTAATATCAAAAGGCTCTTTGAGACACATCTTCTGAAGTGGTTTCAATACAATAAGTGACAAATTGCTATGGAAAAAACGTTTGTGAATGGCATTTCATTCCATGAGTATGAATCATTCAGCCTTCCTCATTGTCTTTTGATGCATTTGACTAGAAAAAAACAGAGAAGTGCCAGCTACCACTCACATCCAAAGCTGAAGTTCTGGGAGAATTTGAATCTGTATGTGCAAACTGGGTGACTGAAACTCGTTTTGCCAAGAAGGCGGCAGGGAAGGTTACGTCTGGACGAGCACATGAAAGTAGCATTTCCATTTTCAGTTGTTTCCCCTTTGGCTCTCCTTCGTGTCCAGTGTGACAGTATCTGGCAGTGTGCTTAACAAAGGGTATTTAAATGTGGCCAACGGTTGGGATAAGGGTGGATAAAATTACAAAGGAGTTGTTTTGCTGTAGGTAAGGTCTCAAAAATCATTGTATTTAGGCTTGTACAGACACAGTCACTTGCCAGAGTAAAATGAATTTGCAGCACAGCAGGCGGTAAAAGCAAAAGTTAAAGCTCTTCAGGTTTGTGGTGGAAAAAAACTAAAATCCAGGATCCAGAACTGTAGAACATTGGAAAAAGCTTTGATTTGAGTAGTCCAGATCAGGACTGTTGGACTTTCTTTTTAGTCCCAGAAATAAACAACAGGAGCAGTTTTGGTTTAAATTTAAAAGATGGTACAAATAAAATGTTTTCTAAGTATTGTTTCTCGAAAGAACAGATCAAAACTGAGTTAGACTGATTTTAAATACCAACATTTTCCCTTCAATGGGAACACAAATCACAGCCCTCCTGCATTTTTAAGTTCTTGCCTGGGCTTGACAAATAAATGCCATAAAACCACAGGAGTGAATGTCCTCCTGGTGTTTCTGAGCCAGCTTGAAGAAGGAAACTTTGAACTTGAGTGCAGAGCAGAGAAAAAAGATATTAGTTCCTTTCTGAGGCCATCTGAATGTCACTCCTACACCATTTGTGTGTTACATGAAATGCCCAGGTATTTCAGCATTCAGAGATCATAACACTTGGTTACAGATACCCACACCCCTTGGGAAGCTTTGGCAGCAATCTCTGCTGGATTTCTCATAAATCTTAGGTGCCCATTCATTCCATTAAGCTCATAGTATTGCCGAGTAACAGCTTTGATTTAGGAGGACAATAATAATAATAATAATAATAATAATAATAATAATAATAATAATAATAAATGTCTCCTAAGGATTGAGGCTTCCTTTTTACCTGTCCAACTTGCTTGTCTTTGTCAAATATTCTATGGATACAGAAGCTGTATATAAAATTCTCCCCCACCCATCAGCTAATCTGTTGAGGGAAATGAAACCATGGTGTGAAGCTGATGTTGAGGCAGGTGAGGTTTTGATTGCCTTGGAGCAGTGCAGAAACAAAGGCACCTTCAGCCAGCTGTTGTCTCCTCTCAGGCCCTTTGCTCCAGGGTGTTTCCCTTTGGTCTCCAGGCTGGTGCAATGCAGGCCACCTGACCACGCTTCAGCGTGGTCTCTCTTCCAGCACAAGGCCTTGGGAGTCCTTTTCCTCCATGCATTTTTCCCCTGGTGTTTAAAACGCCCCAAGGACCAGACAAGATGACTTTTGCGGGAGACCAAGGTATTCAGAAGCATCAGGATGTCGCAAGACTTGGCGCATGCCCGTGGTGCTCACTGCCTATAAACACACCATGCTCCTCAGCAAAATAAATGTTTATCAGAAGTGACATTTGAGTTCCATATCCCTGGCTGGGAGTCAGGTCCCTGCATGGCACAGAAGGGGAAAAGGAAGGCAAGTTCATTTGCTGACCCGTTCGGTGCGGATGTGGAGGTCCAGGGCGGTGTCACCCATTGCCATGGAAGAGCTTCTGAACAGATGGGATTGTGAATAGACATGGTTTGGGAAAGCTGGGAATAGGAGAAAAAGAAGATTGTGAAGTGTGTGACTGTGCTGTGGCTATCTGAGAGCGTGTGATAAGGATTCTAGAAATAACATGGTCAGGAAAACAGCACAGCTGGATTTACAGCAAATGATAAGGAAATACAAGCTTCATTTGACTGGGGAGCAGCTACTTCAGATCTCTTGGGCTGGGTGTGACTGCCTGCGAGATGTTGCTCCTTGGCATTGTGTTTTTTGAGTTTGGAGGTCACAGTGGGCTTCTCCAGCAGTGTCTTGGTGGGGAGGACACGGCCCTCAAGTTTAACATAACCCATCTGGGTAATCAATGACTTTGTTCCCTTCAATAGATAACCTCTGTCATTCATTCTGTCCCCACTTACTGCTAGACAGATCTGGGACAACTTTGTACAGTTGGAGAAGAGAAACCTCCATGGCAGCAATGACTGCACTCAGCTGTTCTCCAGCCCCAGACCCTGAGCTGGGGCTGGGGCCAAGTGTGGGCAGGGAGCTCACACTTGTTTTGCTCTGAGGTTGTTGAATGCATGGATGTGACTTGGGGAATTTTTGTGGGACTGAGCAGATGCTTTTCCATATGGTGTGTGGATGTGGTCAGGAGCTACCTGAGGCTGGAGGATCCTCTTACAGCCAACTGACCTCCCTTAATTTCCTCTATGTAGTAAAAAAATGCTGCAAGGGGAAAGCATTTTGTTTCAGGTTGACAGGGCAAAAAACCTAAGCTTTCCTGGTCTAATCCTGATCCAGTTGCAGATCCAGACTGTGTCTGCCTGGGCAGCCTCAAGCAGCCAGGGATTACACCACAATCCCTTCCCACAGCTTTCCTGGCAGAGGTGGGCGCTTGTGTATTTTGTATATTGTGACTCTCTTTATTAGGCCTTTCCCATCTTCCTCTCCTCAGCTCTGATTTTCACAGTCCCCACGTGGCTGTTTTTCACTGTGCTGGCTCTCTGCTCTGGTCTTCAATATCCCTTTAAAAAAAACAAAAGAGCAAAAGAGGCTGGCTGCTTTCCCTCTGCCTCCACAGTGCTTGTTTTGGTCCGGTTTCTCCTTGGTCAGGTTGGGAGCCTGCGGTGCCGGAGGCGGTGAGCCATGCAAGCAGGGAAGCAGCTCAGAGGGATGCTGAATGGCTTTTCCATCCCTCCCTGTGGCAGCACTCGGGGGCAGAGGCGGGACCTGGGCTGCACAGCCCTGCCACAAACCAGTGTACCTTCTGTTGTTACAGGGGCTTGGGGGATGCTGTGGGGCAGCTGCAAGAATTTTGGCAGCGGCCAGGAGCTGAGCTTTTCTCCGGAATGTCTTTGAGGCTTTGCAAAGGAATGTCCCCTGGGCCTTTCTTCTCATACAAAATTTCACCCACGTTTCCTATCTGCCCCACCGTGGGGCACAGAGAAGGCTGCTTGGCCGCTCTTCAGCTGCAGCTGACTTTGCAGAAATACCAGCAGCAGATACTGCAACTCAGAATTCCCCAAGAAGGGGAACAAGCTTCCCTACTGTTCCCCTTCCTGCAGGGAAGCTTGCAGGAGCCAAGGTGCAGCCATGGCCCCAGTTACACCCAGGGGATGTGTGCCGCTTGGTGCACACGCTCAGTCCAGCCATTCTGCTTTCCTTCTTGGCTACACCCATTCTCTGCTGTCCAGACCCCTCAACATACTGGCAGCTGCTGGATGAGGCCAGCAAGAAACAGTGTAGGGCTGCAGTGTCACCCAGCATGTGACACCCACAGCCAGCGGGGCCAGCGGATGGGAAGTGCATTTCCCACACCCCAACCTGTGCCTGTCCCCACAGAGAGGTGCAGATGAAGGAAAAAATGCTGGGAAAGGCAGCAGATGAGGGGCTGGTGGGGATGGCTGGAGCAGGGGGAGACTCCTGGGCAGTGTGGGCTGAGCCTTGGCCCTGCAGCAGACAGGCAGGATGTTCTATCCAAGTGGATGCATCCGTTTCTAACTTGGGATTTGTGTCTTCTCCCCAGACATCTCTGTGGAGATGAGCCAAAAAGGGGGACAGTGCCCAAGTCCTGCCTTCTCCCCACATCCCTGCTGGGGTGCTCCATCCCTTGCCAGGTTGTTTTCATGGCTTTTGTATTTTCTCACTGTCATGTTTAATGTGATCCCTTTTCAGCTTGCTGGGGCTGCTTGGACAGATCACAGAATCACAGAGAGGTTTGGGGTGAAAGGGACCTTAAAAGATTATCTAGTTCCTCTCCTCTGCCACAGACAGGGACACCTTCAGTTTGCTCTAAGACCTGTCCAATCTGCCTAGAATGCTTCCAGGGATGGGGCAGCCCCAGCTTCTCTGGGCAACCTGTGCCAGTGTCTTAATGCTGCGCCAGGGCTCCCGTGAGATTAAAAACATGAACACACTGGTGGTGAGCCCTGAGAGGTGAAGGAGTGTTTGGGATCCCTGGTGTGGGGTGAGGGTGTGGAAAGGTCAACTCCAGCTATTTAAACGCCAGCAGCCCCAAG